GGGGGGGGGATTCCTGGGTGATATCGATCGATCAGATTCGGAGAAACAGGCCCAAAGCGTATCTGTTATACTATAACGTCGTAGCGATTTATAATCTGTGACCAAGTAGTTTAGGCGGCTTGGAAGTGGCGGCTTGTAGGCGGTTGTGCTTAATTTCAAGTAAAGCACAATGACTTCCAAGCAAACTAGTTTTGACTGAGACTTCAAAGTGGCTGGATTTGAGTCCGTGTCGTATACACAGATTCAGAATAACTTCTACCTTCTACAGCCCATTATAGAAGCGATCGTCAACAGTATTCTATGCGAGTTGACCGTCTAATAGGCAGTCTATAGTATTATTTGCGAGCTCTTGATATTTGATCATATAGCTCTTCTCAGTTACGGGCTCAGCACGGATAATCGTAAGAATAAAGCCACGCTTCTTTCAGCACAGCGAACGCACCCACAGGTGTGTTCTTGATAATCCCATTATTTCATTATACCGCTGTATTAGGCGGGCACAAGCTGGATCTGTGTGTGTCGGACGGTAGGAGTATGCTTTCACATCGCGGTTACAAACATGCAGATTTTTCTGTTGAGACTACCTGTTTGATTGCACTCAGCTAAAGCGTGTACACTCTCTACAGTTGACTGTAACGGCTAGGGGTCGATGCTGGGCAAGCCGGACAGGGCAACAACATCGCCAATGACCTGATGCTGCATCGGGTTGTTCTGTACTAGATTCGGAGCTGAAGTAGGCGCCAAGCTTCAAATTAGTAATTTACATAGGTTTGGACTATCCAATCCGTGACTTATGTAAACTGCTGGGACCGCTTGATCCAGTGTTTTTTAGCCTATCTTCTTTTTTACATTCATCCGATAAGATTTGATGCTACTTCCTTCAGTCAAATCTTAAAAATCTTTATAGTATTGAGTAAGGACCCGTGACGGGGGGAGGGCTGTAAAGGATTTTGTTTTGCTTTTCTGCGGTACCGTGTCCAAATCGCCTTTGCTCCTGCTTCGGAATGTAGGATCTCCTTAGTAAACACAATCGCAGTAAATCGATTGCATTAAGACATGTAGTCAATATGACCGTCCGCGGAACGACGTGGAGTGGATCTTTTACGGACAGCATTTGGTGGCAACCACCTTTAAATTCTGTCTCTTAGATGCCGCAGAGAATTCCTGAATGGCCATCCATGTCACGGCTGCAACGTAAATAATTAGACACGGAACTAATCACAGATCAGCAGATTCCGAGTACTAGTGCTTGTTGTCAAATTGTAATCAAAGGATTGGGAAGGGAGCGTGACTATTCACAAGGCGCTAACCCTTCGGCATAACTTACAGTTCACGCTAGTTTTATTCTTCACAGTACTATGTGACTTCGACCCTAAACCCGTCAGTTGCCGAACCGTAGTTATTTTCGGCGATTTGCTCACGTCTTCATTACGTGTAGAACAGTGGTTGTCCATCCCGCATTAACCACATCACTTTGCCGACTATGTCAGCCTGACAGCATTGATCACTCCACTCCCCGTTCTACAACAGTCTGACCGTCACCCACACGAGATGCCATCAAGCGCCGAACTGCTTACCGACGCCGCCTTCTTCCTAGAAGCATCAGACTTTCTCGACATGAACGCAACCGATGCCGAAGAAAATGGAAGTCTAGCAATACCCGAACTACGAGGAGCAGCGTCTCCCGCGTATGTTCGAGGTGGGGATATCAGTGGCGAAGCAGCCATCAACGCGTTGAAACTCTACCGCGAGAAA